AATTTTTAGATATCTTTTAACCTTTTTACAATTGTAAATTTAGTTAGCATCGGGCAGGCGAAGAGCCACCCTGTGGATATACTGCCCGAAATGCCATTACTATTACTACTACTATTACTACTACTATGTGCTGACCTTCGCGAAATATAACTCTCTTCATAAAAACAAAGTCACCCGTGCTTTAAAGAGGAAAACTTACAGTAAGCAATAACGTAAGCCTCTTTAAAAGAAAATTAGTGACTTTAACAGTATACTTTCACAATGATCTTTTCTCCTGACTTCATGCCCACATGCACCACAATCAAAAAAACTTAAATCCATGCATTACAATACAATACTATCATGAAAATAACTTTTTTACAGAGTTGCAGAAATACTCGCGCGCTCATTTGATAATTTTTATTGTCAATAAGCGGACAGACGCATGAATTTATAATTTATGAAATGTTCACGCAACAAGCGAGAGCGCACAATTAATTTAACAATTTGTTATTGTAAAAACAAATTGACGTCAGTTCTTCATGCGTCTGTCCTGTTATTGACAATGAATTTCGTCATAACATTGTCAAAGTAGTCCGCGGATCCACTCAGCTATCGCCTCGTGGTTAGTGCGCTAGGTCTCCGGATCGTGCAGTCCGGGTCTGAGCCCTGTCCGGGGACATTACGTTGTGTCCTAGGGAAAGACCCGTTACTCTCAAAGTGCCTCTCTCCACCCAGGTGTATAAATGGATACCAGCAAACTTAATGCTGGGGGGTAATTCTGCGATGGACTGACATCCCATCCAGGGGCCCGTTTTCCGAAAGCCCCGGAAACTTTTCGGGCCCGTAAAGCCATTCTTTGTTCATCCGTATCTAAAAACGGAGAAGTGTATAAGCCTGAAACTTCTTGTATGAAGGGAACCTATGTTCATGTTAAGAAAATGCGAATAAAACAGCTCTGTAATCGTAGGGTTCGAGATTTTACTATGGCTTTCTGGGCCCGAAAAGTTTCAGGGGCTTTCGAGAAACGGGCCCCAGGGGGTGTAGTAATACTCTTAGTCGCCTCATGCTACAGAAACCAGGATAAGCTCCGGCCTGATGGGCCACTTGGCTCGTACGCAAACTTTCCTTATACAACCTCGTAAGCGCAGTTCGAGTGAGCCTACAGTGGGGGCAGGTTATTCCCGCAGGGCACTTACATGTATAAGTTATATAAAGCAATCTATAACCAAGCAATCCGGCTATGACCAAGCTTAAAAAGGAGGAGCTCATAAACAGCATTTTACGCTACACATATATTGCTAGCACAGGGAAATTTAAAGTGATTGTCCGACAAGGATTTTTAGTACCTTTGCAATGGTTCGATCCATTCAAAAAAGACGCCTTGACTTTCCTTTGCATTCTAGTCCCTAATTAAGAATTCTAAGTATACGCTCGGCAGTGTAAGTCATGCAGTAGCTCAGTATTGTTACTTATTAAAATTATTATTTTTTGCCATATAATCTGTTTAATACAGGTGCAGGTTTTATAACCAGGTACACGTTCTATAACCTGTTTAATACAGGTATACCGTACTGGTGAAGCTGAGCGTCCATATCATGAGGGTTTCTGTAAAATGGAGATAGAGATCCGGTAGCTCAGCCAATCAGATTGCAGCATATGCATTAGTATACGAGTAGAATTCTACTAACTACTGTTATTAAATCTAAAGCTCGAATGACTATGTATGCAACCAAAAGTCGCTGAACAAAAACTAATTCAGCAATCTCTGGAATTGAGTTGTGTGACTACAGTTTGGTTAAGTGGGAATCGAAGCTTATCATATATACAGGGTATTTGTTATCACTGTTAGCATTACGAGAAAGGCTAACAATTTCTCCAGGGTCCTGTGCGGGGATACACCGGAACACCTTTGATCGATTTCCTGAAACAGACGTGAAAAGAATCAAGTGAGCTATTGTTAACAACACGTAAAAGCGTACAACAAAATAATTCAATGGAACTTGCTATGTCTATTTGAATATGATTTCCTGAGGTTATTAAATGGTTACTCGATAGGAGAAAAAAGTGATTACCATAGAAACTGGATATTTTTGATGTGTGGGGAGTTTGCTTGTGATGTTTGCGAAACTAGTTAAAAAGTCTAATGAGCTACGACTTTCTAAACAAACCACTTACAAATATGAATACCCTCGACAAAATGATACTTCATTTTCTCGATACAGCTTTTTCTGGACCATCTCAAGCATTTTCAAACAGCTTTTAACCAATCTTGCCTTAATCAGATCGATAGGAAAATTACACCAGTAATTGGAAATGGATTGCAGATTGGCATAATGTATTTCTTAAGGCAATCGATATTTCCATGGAAACTGTCACGTTACACAACCGATGGAACTGGATTATTGCAATGAACGGATACGACACACGAATCCAATCTAGAAGTCCGCCATGTTGCTTTAATAATCAACTTCCCAACTTACATTGCGCGCTTAAGTATATTATGTATGATGCACCGAAATGTACCTTACAAACACTACAGAAACAATAAACCAAAGAATCGAAAACTATGAATTTTGTCCGAACCAAATGCATGTGATATGAAAATACAAATACCAGTGCCTTAAACTATTGTGTATGGCAAGTAGAATATACAAGAATTAAGAATTTCTGTATATTTGATCTCGAGTAAATTGTAAAAACATGGCAAATCATACTTTTTGCCTCATAATAATAAATAAACCTACAGTTGAACACTATTTTGATGACATTGCTTCAAATAACACCAAAATACGTATTGAAGTTATGTTTTGATGTCATGTTGGGTAAGCTTTGATTTTGGTATTATTTGAAGCAACATCATCAAAACAGTGAAATGGAATTGAAGCAGATACATATGTAAAATGCTGCTCTTAGAAATCCTGATGCAACGTCCAAGAAACAAATGAAAGTTTTATATTATAGAACTTTTTTATTCCTCATTATAAGAGGTACTCTTACGCGCAAGTTCAGTATAGAGACAAATTTGCGCTTGGCATCTGTAAACTATAATTTTCTCTCACCGTATGTGAGCTTTCGTTACTCACATTTGGCCAAGGAGAACTTCGGTTTAGTCCGAGCTAAAGTTCGTGTTTAGTCAAACGAAACTTCGCGAAATTAAGCAGCACTCTTTTCACTTAGCCAAGCGAAATANCAAAATAATTCAATGGAACTTGCTATGTCTATTTGAATATGATTTCCTGAGGTTATTAAATGGTTACTCGATAGGAGAAAAAAGTGATTACCATAGAAACTGGATATTTTTGATGTGTGGCGAGTTTGATTGTGATATTTGCGAAACTAGCTAAAAAGTCTAATGAGTTACTACTTTCTAAACAAACCACTTACAAACCTGGATACCCGCGACAAAATGATACTTCATTTTCCCGATACAGCTATTTCTGGACCATCCCAAGCATTTTCAAACAGCTTTTAACCAATCTTGCCTTAATCAGATCGATAGGAAAATTACACCATTAATTGGAAATGGATTGCAGATTGGCATAATGTATTTCTTAAGGCAATCGATATTTCCATGAAAACAATAAACCAAAGAATCGAAAACTATGAATTTTGTCCCAACCAAATGCACGTGATATGAAAAAAAACAAATACCAGTGCCTTAAACTATTGTGTATGGCAAGTAGAATATGCAAGAATTAAAAAATTATGTAAATTTGATCTCGAGTAAATCGTAAAAACATCTCAAATCATACTTTTTGCCTCATAATAATAAATAAACCTACAGTTGAACACTATTTTGATGACTTTGCTTCAAATAACACCAAACTGCGTATTGAAGTTATGTTTTGATGTCATGAAAGTTTCGTTGGTATTCTTTTTGGTAATCTCACCGATGAGACTTTTTCTTAAGGTCACTCCCATAATAATTTGTTGGGTAAGCTTTGATTTTGGTATTATTTGAAGCAACATCATCAAAACAGTGAAATGAAATTGAAGCAGATACACATGTAAACT